TTAATCAAAGTATCGAATAATAAATTCTGCGAGCTTATTACCAATTAATCAAAGTATCGAATAATAAATTCTGCGAGTTTATCACCAATTATTCAAAGTACTAAATGATGAATTCTGCGAGTTAACTTTTATTACCAATTAATGAATTCTGCGAATTAACTTTTATTACCAATTAATGAATTCTGCGAGTTAACTTTTATTACCAATTAATGAATATAGTATAATAAATTCTGCGAGTTAACTTTTATTCAAGTATAAAAATAAACTCTGCGAGTCAACTTTTATTATCAATTAATTCAAGTATCAAAATAAATTCTGCGAGTTATTAATTCACGTATCAAAATAAATTCTGCGAGCTATTAATTTTCAAGTATCATAATAAATTCTGAGAGTTAACTTTTATTAAAAAGTATCAAATAATTCTTGTACGTAGTCAAAATTGTTAATTATAGGTTTAAGTAAAAGATGATAAAGCTTTATTATAATGTTAACATCATTAAGTACCTTTGAACGTTAATAAGAAATAAATTGATCCTAAAAAGAAGCATATAATTTAAATGAATCAAAAACTATGGCTATAAAAATTCTAAAATTTATTTAGAGTACAAAGTACGGTTTGCTGATACAAAAAATGAAATTTCTATCAAGTTTCCTCACACAGAAAATTATTTATTACAAATATTACCATTCCCACAATAAAATATGTATAATATAAACGTTCTTTTAGTGTTGTGAACATGTAATAATTAAAAAGAATAAAAAAAAAAATTTTTTTGATTATAATAAAATTATATCAAAAGCTTAGTATAATAAGGCACCGATGAATAAAGCAGCGAAAGATCCAACGATCAATTCAAAACCGCCGAAACGAACGCTTGAAGCGGAACCTGAGGCGGGAGCGGTAGTGGATGCAGCATTGCTTGATTTTCTTTTTTTAAAAAAGGCATTTATTATAATTAATTAATATAATTGATTATTTAAAAATGATTAAACCAAAGACTTCTTAAAAATACTTACGGTGCACCGGCAGGAGAAGCTCCTGAACTCTTTGGAGCGGCAGGTTCACTACCCTTAGGAGCAGAAGCACCAGTTGGAGAGGCTGGGGCACCACTAGCACCTGGTGCACCTGCTGGTGCATTGGATGATCCAGGGGCGGGGCCTCCGGGGGCTGCACTTGATCCGGGGGCGTTTGGTCCTGCTGGTGTTCCGCTTGAACCGGGTTGTGGTGGGCCGGTAGCTTGTGGTCCTGGTGCTCCTGCTGGGGCACTTTGGTCTGCTGGACCTCCTGGACCTCCTGGACCTTTAGGATTTGCTGATGGTTCTGGTGCGTTGTCAGGGCCTCCAGACCTTCAAAGATTAACAGACAAATACAATTCATTTTAATAATTTTAATAAAAAAAATAATGAAATAAAAATATCAAGTTTACTGCATTATAAACTTACGGTTGTGGTTGTTTTGGTTGTTGAGCAAATACAGAGACGAAAAGAATGCATACGAGGAGGAGGAAGAATGTATTCTTAGTGATATTCATTTTGTATTATTATTATTTTTTTT